CCCCGCCACAGGTCATAGAGTGACAACAGTGACATGAATGGTTGCTACTGTGGAGAAAGGACATGGGTCTGAGATCAATTCAAGGTCTGTCCACCCTCCCCTGGCCAATCTTGGAAGCTGAGATTTTCTTCCTAGTGGTCACTACTAACCAGGCCTGGATTTGACGGGGTAAGAGTCTCAGGTATCCTTAGAGTCTATCACAGTTTTATGTAATCCCTGGATTTCTTACATACGGGTTGGGGATCAAAAAGATGTGGGGCTGAATCCTAGAGCTGCCATTTATTTGACATGAGGAAGACATACAACTCTTCCAATGTGCAGATTCTTTCTTTGTGAAGTGTAGACAAAGGTGCCCCCTGGAGGCTCAGCAATATTAACAGATGTGCACACCCCGTTGGTAAGTGGGACTATTAGGACGTGAACCCAGTTAAAGCTTGCACTCTCAACTGTAAAAGATCATTCTCCCCCATCAGCACTGAAATGCCAGATGGCTTAGGACAGGAAGGGACGTGGGAACACTGGAGATTAATTACAAGACGCTTCATTGGGGCACCTGGGTGGCTCAATTGGTTACGCTTCCGACTTCGGCTCAAGTCATGAGTTCACGATTTCTGAGTTCGAGCTCCTTTCTGGGGCTCTGTGTGGACAGCTCAGAGCCTGGAGCCTGTCGTGGATTCCCTGTCTCCCTGATCTCTGCCCCTCCCTCCCCTCTCTCTCTCAAATAAACATTAAAAAAATTTATTTTAAGAAGAAGCTTCACTGAATTGGAGTGAATGAAGGGAGTATGAAGAAGCCTCAGGGTGCAGAGTTGAATTGTCCCCACTCACTCAGCACCCACACCACTCCCTGCAGCGATTTTCAGGGCCTGGAAGGGGCCGGGTGAGGGTCACCACTTACTTCATAGCACATGAAGATGCCTATGGGCTTGGTGGGCTTGATCCTGATGCCAATGTTGCCTTCAGTGTTGAGCGGCAGGATGTTGCCCTTGTCATCAATGATCTGGAGCAAGAGGCCTGTGAATCCCACCCAGCAGGGCCACCCCAACACGCATGCCCCGCCCAAACGTTAGCTGACTATTCATGTGAACCTGGTGAGAATAAGTTGGGGGTGGGAGCCCTGTCAGAAAATAAATTACAATTGTCAAAAGTCTTTGAAATCAGCGAATGGGGAAGCCAATGTCATGGGTCTATTTGTTTCATGGATATACAAGCATTGCAAATGTGTCGGCAAGCTGGAAGGCTCAGGTGAGGAAAAACTAGAAGCACCAGCTGATGGAGAGAGTAGCCAGGTGCTCCAGGTGCTCTGGTCCCAGCTGTTGTGTGTGAAGCTTCCAGCTGCCAGGCTCAGCTGCATTTGTGCCCAGGATACTGCAGTTCTCAAAAGAAGTCTCCCGAGGAAATCAGAGGGAAAGTAGGAGGAGAGGAGAATGGATGGCAACTGGGGCGGGGGAGTGGGGTGGGAACAGCTGGTTCTGTCATCTGGTGTCACAACTTCTGATCCCAGCTGAACCCTAACTATTCCCAGCCAATGCCTTTAGGACCAAACCTGGATGTCGAAGGGGAGGATGCTTTTCCCCATGGAACCTGGCTTGATCTTCATTCCCCGTAAAGTGCCACAACTTATTCCCTGTTTACAACAGAAGAAAATGGTGTTGTTCAAAGAGTCCAGTCTGTTTACAAAGCTTCAAGAATTATCCACAGTATCTTTGCTCACCAAGGTCATTTGAGGCTGTGCAAAGAGCCCTTGTGGGGAAGCTAGAAGGCCCAGATTCAAGGTAAGGTGCAAGGCATTGACCCAACTCTGGTCAGCAGATTTTCACTGCACCTGTGGGCATGTAATGTGAGGTGTGGAGTGCCCACTGTATGTCAGATATTTGTCCGTTTGCTAGTGTAAGGCCATGAAACCGTTAACATTTATTTGGGGCTGTTGAACAGTGACATGAACCTTGTCTCATTCACTCAGCACTGTGTTGAGAGAATTCTGATTGTGTTGGTCCCTTGGCTAAAGAACTGCCCCACCTCTTTTATTTCCCTGATGACCCACATTCCTCCTTTACGGTACTCTAAAATATCATTTTTTCTAAAGTTAAGTAGGCTAGTATTTGTTTCATGGATATGAATCTTCACTCCAGTTGTGTGCCAATTAATCCTCTTTGATTTCTCCTCCTAAAGGTGGGTAATTATAAAACTTACCTGTCACAGTACCTTGGTGTATGGAAAACTCTTCACCCAGTACCAGGTACATCAGGTTAGTTCAATAAACAACCACTACTAGCTATTATTCAGCCCCCAGAAAAGTCAGTTGGGGGATTATCCTTCTGTAGTATTTTCCCCCATCCATTCATTATAGTCATCAGAGCATTATACTTATTTTTGCTTGTGTGTTTCTTTTAGTAGATAACAATTATCCTGATAATAGAGATTGCCCCATTCACTTCTATACTCCATCCCCCTAGCATTCTAATTCAACACCTGCTTAAACACAAGAGTAACTGCAAGTTGAGCATATACAAGTAGTTGGACATTGTAGCCAGAGCCTTATATACATCCTTTCATTTCCCTTAATACAACCCAGCATAATTGGGTTATACTCCCATTCTGGAGATGGAGAAGCAGAGACTCTAGAAGGTTCAATGCTATGCATATGGTCTTGAACCTGTGATTGTCAAGGCTGATGTTGAATTGGTGTCTGAGTTCCTAGGAAGGGAAGCTTTTCCTCTTTGTTATGCTGCTGCTCACAGTACAGGCATATGGAAAATGTTCCTTTGATGACTCAGTAGGTATAAAATTGTTTTGAGATATAAAGCACCACTCAGATATAAGGGGGTATTCTGTCTGTTGTTGCAAATAATTAATGTAAAGGTATGTCATGGTGTAGGTACTTCCCATTCTACCACCCTCCTCCTTGTCCAAATATAAACTATGAACCATACACGGCAAGGGTGGAATCTAAGTCATTCTCAGGCCTGCAGGCAGACCAATTAACTGATTATTTAACATATTTTCCCCCTAAAAAATTCAGTGAAGTATGTGAACTGAGGCTAAAACAGCCATTCTGCTGCAGCTCCTGAGATGGCAGCCATCCCTCTGTCAGCCTTGGGGATAATAAGGAAGTTGGGGAAGGGGCCATGTACAGCAATAGAAATGGCTTGAGAATGTGTAGGAAAGGAGATATGTACCTCTGCTGTCATTGATAAAGTTTTTGTAGTTTATGTCATGCATGATACTCTGAATGCCCTGCCACATGTCTGCTCAATGATGCCTTTGAGAATCATAGTGTGTGTGTGTGTGTGTGTTTGGTATATACAGAAAGTCTCTGCTCCCTCCTCTACTCCAGCTAGTGTGCCACAATCAAACCTATGTGCTGTCCATCTAAACACCCAGAAATGAACTTCTGGGAGTGACTCTTGGCGTTGTGGTTGCCTCCCTAGGTAGTGATGGTGAAACGGGCAGAATTGAGGATGGTGGCCTCCCTGTTACTGGAGAGAACCTCCCATCTCGCCACCCTTGATGATCTCCATAGAGCTTAATGACCACAGGGACAATGGCATCATGTCCTTAGACACCTTTGAAAGTTTTCATCCAATAGTTTCCAGCACATTGGCCTCTTGACAAATTGATTAGCCGTGAAATGTGTTTGTGCAAATCGATTTGGGGCATATTAGTCTAAACCTCTGAAGCCTCCCATTGTCTTCAGGCAATGCTGTGAACAGGGTGGGGCCTCTGCACACACATGCGGGCTCCGTGGCTAAGCACACACTGATGAGCCCAGAAAGGACTGTCTACCTACTGTTTCTGATTGTCCGTAGGCCTGGTAGAGTAGAAGGCCCGTGCATCTTCTCCACTCCTCTTGTTCTTCTGGCAGCAGAGCCTCCCCACCAGTAGCGCAGTGCTCCAGGGCAGGAAACCTGAGACTAGGGGAAGGCAACGTATCAACAGAGTTTGCAGTCAGGTCTTGGATGCTCTACCCCAGCCCCGAGTGCTAAGAACTCACTCCTAGTCTTGTCATCTGGATCATTTATCCTTCTGCTTCCTTGTGCTCTTATTTGTCTTTAAACAATTTACTGGGGGTCAAAGACAAGGGGAAGTCACTCATTTCCTGTTGGTTCATGTCAACTCTTCTGGCAAGGGATGGGTGGTGCTGGTGAGGCTAATGGGTTTGGTCAAAGGTTTGGATCAAACCTGGAAGTTGATGTAAAATGATGGCAAAGACATATTTATCAGATCTTGCCTTAACGTCTTCAGTGGCTAAGATGGACGCTTTATAAAGCATAATGGTGGGTGATAAGACACCCAAAAGCATGTGAGGATAAACTGCCTTCTATGAAGAGTGGGGACACGTGAACTGAAGGAGTTTTGTATTTCTGAGCAGAAAATCCAAGTGAAGGGGTGGAAATGAATTGCTCAGGACCTCAAGGAAGACCAGGATGAATGTAGGAAAAGAGAGAAGGGGTGTAGGTAACAGCCCTGAGAGAAGGAATTTCAGACAGAGCAGAAACATTGGCTGTGAACGTTTCTAGTAGGTCCATTCGTGACATAAATCCTCTTTCATTTTCCTCATAAAATTTTCCATAAATAAGACAAAACAGCCACAAAATAATGATGGATTCCCTGAAAGACATGGGGAGAAGCGATTGAGATCTGAGTACCAGCTGGCTGTGGGCTGAGCCAGTCAGCTCTTGGGGATCAGAGAGGCAGCAGCCATCTAGTCCACCTTTTCATCCTCTTCATCCCGCCCTGGGTACATACAGAGTTGGGGGAGATGGACAAGAAGGTGGTTTTACTGAAGTGTCTTCTTCATTCTTCTGCAACTTTATTCCAAATAGATCACATGGGCAGAGTCTGATGCAGTCATTAGTTATAACTTGGTGGAGTTATTGGATTTAAACAAAGATACTCATCTGAGGAATACTTCAAAAAGTTGCTTCCTATGAACTTTGAAACACAAATGGAGTCAAGCCAGCATGAGGCTTCATGAAAAACTCTAGTTGTGATTCAAAATTAGCTTCATATGGGTAGTCATTAAACATCTTAATATTTTAATTCTATATGTAAAACATGTTACTCTGAATTTTGGAGGAGTCATCTTAATTTCAGAGTCTTTAAAAGATTCATAATTGTCCATATGTTTCAAAGAGCAGTTTTCAGTTTAGCTAAGATGAGCTCACAAACATGAGAAAATGCAAAAACAAAACTATAGTAAGAGAACACTATATATCCATCAGATTGACAAAAATTAAAAACTCTGACAATAAAAAATATTGCCAGTGTTATGGAACAATGGCAAATCTACTCTGCTAGTGGGAGCATAGATTGGTTAAGTATTTTGAAAATCCAGGTGGTAGAATGTATTGTCTGACTGAACTAGCAATTCTTCTTCCATAAAAATGTTACAGAAATGCAAGCTTATATGCACCAGGGTACATGTATAAGTATTCAACGTAGCATTAGTCATCAATAACCCAAAATAAAAACTACCCAAGTGTCCATTAATGGTAGAACTGATTTTAAAAAATGCAATGTTTTAGTACAATGGGGTATTACACAGCAATGAAAATGAACTATACCAATATACAGCAACGTAGACACATCTTAAAAACATAAGTTGAAAAAGGAAGCCAGGTAATATAGAATAATGTATGATTATACACATAAAGTTCAAAGTTAAGTAAAATATAATAACTTATTTAGAGTTATTTACCTAGGAGGGTTTCTATAAGGGAAAATAAGGATACTAACCCCATTAAAGTCAAGATGTGAGTTCCTTTTGGGAAGATAGAGAGCCATGCAGGTTCCCTGGGGTGTGGACAATGTCCTATTTTTGTAACTCATGTGAGTGGTGACATAGGTGTTTTAATTTCAACAATTCATTAATCTATAAATTTATGTGTTTTGTTTTTTTCTGTATGTTTGTCCTTTCATAAGAAAAATGTTCAAAAAATAATAAACCTACAATAACTCATGGGGCACAGAGGATTTCATTTGGATCTTGGAGTCCAGCTTTAATTAATTAATTAGGCTGACTAATGATAATTATCACCATCAACACTTAATTACCACTCACACACCCACACACCCCTCAAAGAACGACAGTTAAAAAGTCAGACCAGGGGCGCCTGGGTGGCTTAATTGGTTAAGCGTCCGACTTTCGCTTAGGCCATGATCTCGCGGTTCGTGGGTTCGAGCCCCGCGTCGGGCTCTGTGCTGACTGCCAGCTCAGAGCCTGGAGCCTGTTTCAGAGTTTGTGACTCCCTCTCTCTCTGACCCTCCCCTGCTCACGCTGTCTCTCTCTCTCTCTCCTAGAAATAAATAAAAATATTTAAAAAAAAAAAAGTCAGACCACAGTACGCTGGATTCCTTAAAT